ACTATATTCAATCTCCTGGGATAAATCATAATGGAAAAGAATATAAAAAGCAATATATATATGTGTGTGTGTGTGTGTGTGTGTGTGTGTGTGTGTATATATGAATCATTTTGCTGTATTGCACAGTTTAACACAACGTTGTAAAGCAACAATACTTCAGTAAAATAAATTTTTTAAAAGTAAAACAAATAGAATGATTTGGAAGATTGAGATGGACACATATACACTATTGATACTATGTATAAAAAGATAACTAATGAAACCTACTGTATAACACAGGGAACTCTAAACGCTCTGTGGTAACCTAAATGGGAAGGAAATACAAAAATGAGGGGATATATGTGTACGTACAGCTGATTCACTTTACTGTACTGCAGAAACACATGTTGTAAAGCAACTATACACCAACAAAAATTAATTAAAAAATATATTTGAAATAATAGGATGATATCTGTGTTGAACTGTAAATAATAATGACAGGAATGATAACAGTGCTTTGGACGGAATGTTTGTGTCTCCCACAAATCCATATGTTGAAGCCTTCACTTCCAACATGGCTAAATTTGGAGACTGGCCATTACAGGATTATAGCTCAGTGACGTCACGGGTAGGGCCCTGGTCTGACAGCATCAGGGTCCTTAGAGGGAGAAGGCAGCAGCTCATTCTCTCTGAGAGCTCAGACCAGCTGAGTGCTCAGCCCTGGAAGCCAGGGAGAGAGCCGAGAATCAGACCTGGCCCGGGCACTTGGGGCCTGCAGCCCCCAGGATCTGAGAGAAGTAAATTTCTTTTGTTTCAGCCCCCAGTCCATGACATGTTGTTATGGCAGGCCTGGGGCAGTGATGCTGATAGCCATAACAAGACCATTTATTAAGTGTTCACCACATGAAAGCTTTACACGGGTCATATCACTGAGTTCCTACAATAGCAGTGATCAATACGCATATATTATGTAAAAGCCGAATCATAGACAATTAAGTAAGCTCTCGAGTTTGCACCACTAGGACCTACAGACAAAGCCCAGACTAGTCATGTCAGGACAATCCTGCCTCAGGACTGATTCCAAGAGCTGCTAATATCACTGAACATCTACTCCATGCTGGACAGTGATGAAGAGAGATTTGCATTAATGATCTAGCTGGATCTTGAGTTACAAATGCCCTCCACATCCAGGGAGGTCAAGTAACATTCCCAAAGTTAAAGTGTTAGTCACTCAATTGTGTCTGATTCTTTGCAACCCCATAGGTTATAGCCCACCCGGTTCCTCTGTCCATGGGATTTCCCAGGCAAGAACACTGGAATGGGTTGCCATTTCCTCCTCCAAAGGATCTTCTCAACCCAGGGATTGAACACAGGGTCTTGCATTCCAGGTAGATTCTTTACTGTCTGAGCTACCAGGGAAGCCCCAGCACCCCCAGAAGACCCACTACTCTCAGGTCAAAGAGGCAAGACTTGAAAGTAGGTCTTTCTGATTTCAGGAACCATCCTTCCACTGCCCTAAATTTTATAGCATTTCAGCAAAGAGAGGAGAAACATGCTTTTCAGAGGAACTACAGAGAAAATACTCAGAAGCTTTGACATATTGGAGGAAAGTGTACATCACAAAGTGGGCTGAAGAAGATCACATTTGAGCTGGAAGCAGAGCCAGATCTGCTGGCACCCAGCTGGTGATCTTGCCCTTGACCCGCTGTCTGACCCTGGCTCATAACCCAGGTTCAGTTCAGTTTATGCAAAGGTAAATGAAGCCTTCATCTGATTACATTTGGGTGGGGTAACTATGGGGCTTCCATGGTAGCTCAGCTGGTAAAGAATCCACCTGCAATGCAGGAGACCCTGGTTCAATTCTTGGGTGGGGAAGATCCCCTAGAGAAGGGATAGGCTACCCACTCCAGTATTGGACTTCCTTGGTGGCGCAGGTGGTAAAGAATCTGCCTACAATGCAGGAGACCTGGGTTCTATCCTTGGGTTGGGAAGATCCCTTGGAGGAGGGAATAGTAACCCACCCCAGTATTCTTGTCTGGAGAATCTCCATGGACAGAGGAGCCCAGCAGGCTACAGTCCATGGGGTCACAAAGAGTCAGACACAACTGAGTGTGCTGTGCTGCAGAGCCCAGCACGGGGTAATTATGAACTGGGGGGGAGCGTGGAGGAACAATGACCCATCAGCCATCGTGACACCACAGGAAGGGTTTGTCTGAAGTTACATCCTGATGTTTAATGAACAAAACCACAAATATATCCCCACAATTTGGTAACCCATGGGATTCAGTGTACAAAGTCATACCCTGGGACATAAGAAATTGAAAGTGAAAGCTGCTCAGTCCTGTCTGACTCCTTGCAACCCCATGTATACAGTCCATTGAATGTACAGTCCTGGGACATGCCATATGCCATGGCAAATATGGTATTCACAACAATGCCTCCCATTTGAAAGACAGTCTCGTGAAGCTTCTAGATGTGTTTTTTAACCAGTATATTTTACTAGGTTTGAGAAATGCATTCACCTCAGTAGACTCCGTTTTCTCCTTGGAACATTTGAATGTAAAGAAAAATGTGATAAATTTACTGATAAGATAGTGAAATATTCCCCATGCAATGACAAGCAATAGCAAATAATTAAGAAAAAAATGCTTCTGACTTCTTTCAGCAATTTGAAACGCTTTCCAGCAAGAAAAATTTACCCATTAAAGCTCTCCATAGGAATTCTCACTGGGAGAAAATGTCAATGCTATTTTTTTAGCCCAAATGGAAAATATACATAAAATTTGTTCTTTTCTTTATCTATTGGGTCCAATTTGATAATGCTTGTAAACACAAACAGCACCTGACCTACAGATGTTAATGTGTGGTGTGTGTGTTAGTCATTCAGTTGTGTCTGACTCTTTGCAACTCCATGGACTGCAAACCTACAGGCTCCTCTGTCCATGGGATTCTCCTTGAAAATATACTGGAGTGGGTAACCATGCCCTCCTCCAGGGGATCTCCCTGACCCAGGGATCAAACCCAGGTCTCCTGCATTGCAGGTGGGTTCTTTACCGTCTGAGCCACTAGCGTAGCCCACAGATGTTAATAACACTATGCTCATCCTAAAAATAGTAGTGCTCTCAGAGCCTGGGCTGCACCAAGATAGCCACCTAGTTCCCTCATCATGGCCAAAGCTGATTTCATTCTGTTCTCACAGTGAAATGGCCACAAAACGTGAGTGTGTTCCTGTGGTAGTAACAGCTGGCTGCCTATCCATTATCTATTTTATTCTTGCATAGAATCAGAACCCACATCTCATTTTAGGGTCATGGCTGACAGTGTATTGCCCAAACAGTTGCAGTTAAGCTATGGCTATGTGATTATTTCTGGCCAATGTCATATAAGCCAGGAGACTTCTTTAAAATTTGTGCTCCCCCCCCACCCCACCCCAATTTTTTTTTTTTTTTCGCTTCTTTGATTATATTGCAATAGCTAGAGCTCTAGCAGCCATTTTGGAACATAAGGAAAATTCTAAAGATGGCAGATCTGGGTTCTTAGTGTCTATGGATCCACTGTATGTTTCCTCCAGAATGTAGGCAAATAGCCATTGCTCACTGAACAGTGTTTATTTGCTCTAAAATTCTCTTACCCTCAATATCCTTCTTCCTGTTCTCCATCTCTGGAGGCCCATCCAGATGGTGAGGGTTCCATGAGGTCAGTACCCACACTGCTGGTTGCAGAGCAGAGGGTGGTCAGTGCTCACAGGTCTCAACCTGCCATCTCCACCAACTGCCTGCTTCTCAAGCTTTTCACTGAATACACTACCTCTTGCTTACTGCACTCACCTTTCATTTAGTACACAGAAAGGGCTTGATAATATTAATTGAAAAAATGAAAAAAAAAGAAAAAATGATCATGTGCATGCACACTTGTGTGACTGAAAGGGCTCTGGACCATTCAAGGGTATGAAACCGAGCTGAGACATACCATAGACAGACCGCCCCCAAACCATCACCAAGCAGGACTAATGCAACAGCCAACAATAGCAAGGAGAAAACATGGTCATACCCGTTTGGAAATTTAAAATGTCTATATCCTCCATTTGGGTAGGAATATCTGTGATTAAGCTGAAGTATTCGTATCCTACTTATGACATGAAATATCAAAGGGAGGGTATGTGAGAAGCATGCACTTCATAAGATGATTTGGAGGGATAATATTATTGCTGTTCAGTCGCTAAGTCATGTCCAACTCTTTGTGACCCCACAGACTTCAGCGCGCCATGCTTCCCTGTCCTTCACTATCTCCTGGAGTTTGTTCTAGCTCCACTTTTAAATTTAATATCCACTAAACCAAACTAAGTGTAAGTTTAAGGCTCTTACTCTTTACTATTCCAAAAATATACTTCTTGTTTGCTTTTTACACTCTTGATTTTTCATGAGGGTCTTAATACATCCTCTGTTTAAACATCTGGGTAAAGATACACCATATAATAAAAGCCAGATCAGTGGAAGGGGAATCATCATGGTTGTGTCTGCCTTACAAAGTACTCCACTCATAATGCTTTCAAAAGATGGGAATTTGTTTAAAAGTCTCAGTTGTGTGACCTTAAGCCCAAAGGTCTTAAGACAAATGTTCGATTCCAAAGGCATAACATATCTGCATGACTTATGAATGCAATGACATTTTCAACATTAACATAAGCTTTGACCTTTTGTGTCCAGTCCTCTGGGATATGGCATGTTAGCACGTAGAGTTTCTCTTTGCCTTCCTGTGTATTGTTCAGAGGTACACCTTGAAGCATAAACTTCAAGAATACAGCATCTCAAAGCCTAGAAAACAATCCCTAAGAGCAGGTTGTAGCAGAATAACACTCAATGAAATTTTAACCTTTCCAAGCTTTAAAAGATCTAGTAGTTTCATTTCCTGCTTACCAAAATTAAATTCAGTTCCTAAAGATGCAAGGAAACATACTGGTGGAAACACAATTACATTCCAAGAATCAAGTTAAATTAAAGCACATCTCATTTATTCACAGCAGTATAAACATGTTCATTATTCACAGATTTTATCTACTGATTCAACAACAACAAAAGATTACATCTTCCATTTTGACAAGGAGACAATGTGAGAATTTTGGGAAAATCATAAAACCCAGAATTATAACTTCTTCAAGAAAGCATAATTCAAGTGATACAAAGTGAATCAAAACCATTCCACCAAAACAATTCATGATTGGCTTAATCCTTACCATTTAAAAAAATCTCTAGTGTAAAGTTATAGTCAGGAAAGATTATATTTTAATGAAATTTTGCTTCAGCAAAGAAATACCACAAGAAAGTGTTTTGCTTTGATCACAAGCTACTATTATTCAATAACTTAATTGGATAAAATTAAATTTTAAAATAAAGTCAGTGCAGTCCTCTATTTTAGAAAAATATTATTCAATGAAGGTTGAGAAAACTTTCAACTCAGAAGTGTCTGACTAGAAACTCTTTTGAGGAGCAGACATAGTGATTTTATTCAAGTTTACACAGCCTTTTAGAGCCACACTTGAGCACTTTATATCTGAGAATACTCTGAGGACAATAATTCCAAGAATGACATAATTTTAGAAATATAAAACTTGTCTAAAAATCAGTGTTTCCTACATATGGTGCTAATTTTGCTTCTATAATTAGAAGGTACCTAGGTATTTCTTAGATCATTGATTTTAAAACTGAAAAGTGCTTCAGAAACCCAGGGGACTTGTTTGAACGGAGACTGCAGGGCCCCCACCCCACAGTTTTAGATTCTGGGGTGGGGGCTGAAAACCTGCATTTCTACCAAGCTCCCAGGAGACGCTGATGCAGCTGTTATGGGCGCCAGCACACTCTGAAAACCACTGACTTAGAATAACTTTAAGAACAATAATAACTAATTCAAATTAATAAAAGGAAAATATGTCTATATCACAATTCTTTCTATATTTCCCTAAATTTATAATCTATGAAATTCTGGTCAAATTTTTTGTAAATGATACAGAGCCCCCGGTTCAATTTACTTAATTTTGATAAAGCAAAACTAACTGAAAATTTCTTTAATTCCTATTTTTAAAAAGACTCTTTTATAAGGAAGAAATGGTATGCTTTCATCTCCTACCATATAGTGTTATCCAGGGTTATGGAAAGGGTGCATTTAAATCATTGAATTTTTACTTAGACACGTGTAAATATAACTCCCCTGGAGAAGGAAATGGCAATTACTCTAGTGTTCTTGCCTGGGAATTCCATGGACAGAGGAGCCTGGTGGGCCACAGTCAAAGAGGTCGCAGAGAGTCAGACACGACTGAGCGACTGAACAACAAAGATAACCCAGTAAACAGATTACAAAAGTAGGAAACAATCCTGGGTGCTATTCTCTATGCAAATAAGGTAAGAAGCTCTTTAACCTTGGGGGCCTCAGGTTCTTTAAAACTAAAATGGAATGTTTGACCCAGACAACCTCTGACAGCCTTTCTAGCTCCTGAAGGCATGTCAGTTCCTTCCTGTGTCCCAGGAAGCCACCTCGGCTTGGCAAAAAGAGTAACTAACTCAGAGAAACTGTCCAAAAGTCTGCAGAAAAGCATGACCTTTCAGCGTGTTCATTATTAACTAACAAAGAGCTTCAAAACAGAATATGAAGGAGAGAATGAGACTGGACTGCCACCCGTGTCTTCCACCTTCTCTGCGGCCCACTTGCTTCTTTGATCTTTGAATTTAATTAAAACAAAAGACAAGGTTTTATTTCCCTGAAAAACGTCTTCTTAGTGTTTAGACAGGCAGGTACCGTGGTTGATCACACTCGGCGGACAGATAAGAAGGCGATGGAGTTTGCCACTGCTCAGTTGCAAAATTAACAAATATCTGAAAGAAATGATGAACACAATTGCTAACTTCAAGGAACCCTCAACCCTTTGTTCTCATACAAGGAACATCTTCTCTAAGCCCTGCTCAAATTTTCCTAAGAATCACAACCACTCATTCACACCAATCCTTCCCAATCACCTTCAACGTGTAGGTTCAAACTTCAGGAATGATAAACATTTCCAGACACAATAAACTGCCATGAAATTCTCGATGCCTTAAGCACGATTTTAGATTGACCTATAATCTAATTTCACCTGCCAGGACTCTTAGGGAACCAAGCATGTTTCTTCCTAAACTCAGCTCACAGTGAAGCCCCTTTAATTATTAGTGGTGTGCGTGGGTGCTAAGTCACTTCAGTCATGTCTGACTCTTTGCAACCCTATGGACTGTAGCCCACCAGGCTCCTCCATCCAGGGGTTCCTCCAGGCAAGAATACTGGAGTGGGTTGCCATGTCCTCCTCCAGGGGATTCTCCTGACCCACGTCTCTTATGTCTCCTGCATTGGCAGGAGGGTTCTTTACTGCTAGTTCTACCTGGGAAGCCCAGTTACTAGTGGGGTTGGGGAATAACTGGAGACGCAGTGGATACAACCAATGAAACTAGGAGCAGATGGAAGCCCTGAATGTTGAATACTTACCTTGAGTGGAGAGCACACAATAAACAGACCTCCTTTATAAACTCAAAAGGTGATTAATAAAAGAAATGGTGACCTCAAGAAGTAATCTGACCCTTTTTTAAATCAGCTGGAGCAGGCCTCAAGAAAAACAAGCCGGTGTCTCCTTCAAGGTACTATACCTGCTCCAGAGTGGTTTGGTTGATGGAGTAATGTCTGATATTCAGGAAGCTTTTATTGTCTTCTAGAACCCTGAACAGGTTGGCTAAGCACGCCTGTCTTTTTGGCATGTGATATTCCAACAAATTAAGGCGCTGTCCCTGAAAGAAAAAAAAAACCAGATTGAATCACAGGATTAGGAATCATTAAATCTGACCACACTATAGTTAATTTCCAAATAAATTATCTCTTTTCAAAGCACAGCCTTTTCAAATCCTTTTCAAACTCTTTTCAAACCCTTAGACACCAGCTAAAGTCAGAGGTCCGTTTTGTGAGCCTTCCAAGAATGCTCATGGGCTAAGCTTTACCACGAGGCATATATGATAAGAGGTATCCCCCAGTGGTGGTGCTGCTCTGCCAATTTCTGTCCCCACTGTGCCACAAGCCTGGGAAACCCTTTCTCGGGGAAAGAAGACACCTGTTGACAGCTAGGGAGAGGGAGGTGGACGTGGTATCACAGAGACAGATGCACGAAGACCCTTGAACCTCATATCAGAGCATCCGCCATCCTCACCATTGGCTGAGCGACTCCTGGGAAGATGCTTAACTCTCTGAGCCTCATTTTCATGGGGACATGTGGAGATCCCAGTATAATTTCACGGGGTAGAATGCCTTGAACGTGAACCCCTGTAACCTACACAGTATGCCTCTTGCTGGGCAGGATTTTACCCAATGGCTGTAGATGAAATAGACAAGCAATAGCTCCTTTAAGGACGACATCTGTTAGAAGCTATGGCAAACTGGAATCTTGGGGTCATCCAAGTGAACTGCAAATGGTGCCTCTCAGAGGTTCCTGCACACGGGGGTTGCTTGGTCCCCTTGGTAACACACAGGTCTGGGGTTAGGATGCTGGGAACGGAGATGCTACACGTCTCACCCACTCCCAGGTGAGGAACACCCACTGGGTTGGGGACCACACTTTGCATCAAGTGTGTACAGGGTTGTGACCTCAAGCCCAGGGCCGTTCTTGTGAACTAATGCTGAAACCACAGAAGCTACAAACCCCTAGTAAATGTTTGGAAGAAGCTAACTTGTCTATCTTCCCTCCTAAAGAAAATGAACTATGTGATGAAGCTGTGCCCACAGGAAAGGGAAGATGAGTAAGAACTATCTGCACTGGGAGACCTCATAACGGGACCAGCGGCTTGCCATCCTTCAGAGATGTCAGGTGACACCCACAGACAGCCCCTGCTGTTTTGGGGGAAGAGGCATGGCCTGTACTTTGTAATGAGCTCACAACAGTAGGCAGTGTCTTTGAAGCTTAGAATTAAAATAGGGGAAAGACAAGGGCATTTGGGAGAGGTTTTTAGCTCAAAATGAAGTAATGTATAATATTAGCACTACCTTAAACTGGATTCCCGGAAAATAAAGCTTTAAGCAGTCGGAAACAGTGCTGTGTTGATCTACTTCCTTGTGGAGCCAAACCTTGACTGTATAAACATCACCAAACCTGAGAGTTGAATTTAAAAAATAAGGTTACTATTATACAGATCTAAGATAGATAAACTCTAAGTCCATTTTCACAGGAAGGCAGCAAAAGTAAGTAACTATTCCAAATTGTTGGAAGATGGTATGTTCTCAAAAACAGAATATTCAAGAGTTAATAACTGAGTTATGTAGTTTGCTGTGACTCATTGACACAGATACTGATCTATCTGTTTGAAAAATTAACAAATCTTAGAATCAACACCTGGTTCAATACAAAAGGGAGGGTGAAAATGCAAGCTGTGAAGACAAAGTGCTAAGTTAAGAAGCCAGAGCTGACTTGGAGATGAACCCTGAGACCATCCTAGTGTCTAAGACTGCACTGATGCCCAAGTGACTGGAAGAATGGAAGGTAACAGGGACTAATCATGGGATCAAGACAGGCATTTGCTTATCATGAAAAACAATTCCCTCAACTGTTCCTCACCCCGAGGGCCCAGCAACTACAGATGGCAAGGCCCTGACGTCACAGAGCTGTGAATGGAGGTCTGCTGGGGCATCACCCGAGGTGATGCTCATACCACACACAACCTCAAATAGTGAAGGAAAAAAAAAAAAAAAAAACACCAAAGAGAAAATGTTTCTGAAATAGGTTGCAAACTCCTCAGGATCTCTCTAGAATACTTGATAAGACATGCAGACAGAAAATTATACAATCACAGATCTTCAATAATTGAGAGAATCTTTGCAGATTATCAAATTATGATGTATCTAATTTACATTATTCTTACTTTCTTCTGCCTATAACCTACACTTATGCCAATGATCTAAATTCCATGAAGGATTTATTCGACTCATGCATTTTCCATTCTAAAAGCTTTCAAAGTAGCAAAGGAGTCATTTGTGTATAAACTCACTCATTCCTCTCACATTTGGAGATAACCGATCACATCCACATCATTTGCAAAGCTAGCGATTATGTAAAGACCTGCCACTGAAGATGCCTATAAGAAGCACTCAATCACTCTTGAGACTCAGCATTTAGGTACCACAAATGTTCAGTGTGACATATGCAATAAACAGTAAAACAGGGAGGGAGCAATGGACTAGTGGAATAAGAAGTGTGCACATGTATACTGTAAAAGCCAGTGAGGAAATAAGGAGGGAGTGACTGGGTGATGGATACCTGTCAGTTACATTCAGCTTCCGGAGGATCCTCTGCAAATCACTCACACTCATGGCATTCATTTAGAAAAAATATTTATTTAGTTGCAGCATGCGGGCTTTTGTGAAATATATCCCCTGCCATATAAACAAAGAAGAATGTCAAAGCTATCTGCGATTCCTGCCCTCCAAATGTGAATTTCTGAGCCATGAAGACAACAGGCGTGCCACTCCCTACACAACAACTTAAGGATGTCGCAGTCATCAGAGATTATAAATCTACCCCAGGATGAGTCCTAAGGGAATTCAAGAAAGAAAAGAATACCTCTGCAAAAATACACGATGCTTGGCCTTGGACAGCTGAAACGCACAGAAGAGGACTGACGCCAATAATCTCAGACTCCTGCATCTTCCCATACACAGAAGAGTACTAAATTCCTAAACTTGATATCCAGTTTTCCTTAGTTAACAATAGTATTTGTTTTTCATTTATTTTTATTAGTTGGAGGCTAATTACTTTACAATATTATAGTGGTTTTTGCCATACATTGACATGAATCAGCCATGGATTTACATGTATTCCCCATCCCGATCCCCCCTCCCACCTCCCTCCCCATCCCATCCCTCTGGGTCATCCCAGTGCACCAGCCCTGAGTACCAATCTCATGCATCCAACCTGGGCTGGCGATCTGTTTCACCCTTGATAGTGTACTTGTTTCAGTGCTGTTCTCTCAGATCAACCCACCCTCACCTTCTCCCACAGAGTCCAAAAGTCTGTTCTGTACATCCGTGTCTCTTTTTCTGTTTTGCATATAGGGTTATCATTACCATCTTTTTTTTTTCCATTTATTTTTATTAGTTGGAGGCTAATTACTTTACATCATTGCAGTGGTTTTTGTCATACATTGAAATGAATTAGCCATGGATTTACATGTATTCCCCATCCCGGTCCCCCCTCCCACCTCCCTCTCCACCC